AAAACCTCCGAAGCCATTCGCTGCACCACCCTTTCGCGCGCGCGCGCCGCAGCTTTTTTCTGGATGGACGCGCCACCGCGGCAGAATTTCGGCCTGGCGGGTCACCAACATCGACGCCTCCAAAGTGGCTGTGCTGGTGAACATCAAAATAGGTGGCAAATGGATGCCCCATGGCAAATTAGATTTCAAGTCGCCAGTCTGGACAGTGCACAAAAAGTCATCCTGTTTTCTCTCAGAGAGCTGGCAGCAGTTGCTGAAGAGGGAGACGGGTCGTCTCCAAATAACCGGCATGACGTGTTGCCTGGTTCTCCTGCATGGCCTGTTCAGAAGTCACCCCTTTCGGAACCAAAGACGGGCGTACAAGCTCAGGGGTACATGCCATTCTCGCTGTGGCGGGCCCATCAAGGTGGCATCGGGTTGCTCCAGCGAGTTCTATGCGGGCTCCTGGCGTATGCACCTCCAACCCTCCAACCCAACCCCAAGCCCCAAGCCCCAAACCCCAGCAAACCCCCCAAACCCCAACACCCAAGCCCCCTACAGCCCCAGGCAACCGCAGCCATCGCGACCTAACCCCCCGATCCCCCCGATCCCCCCCCCCCACAAGCGCCCACAAGCGCCCAGCGGCACCTAAGCATAAAGTGCCAAGATGGAGGTCATGGAGTGCTGCTCGTGCTCCGTCTGTGGCGCCTGCAGACCCCAAGAAAAACAAAAAGCGGTGTGACGGGGTGTTTGAGGATACTCTTTTCACCTTGAGCTGAAGGGAAACCAGGAGAACATGCTCGGCCCTGAACATCCAACAAGAATTCTGGCCCCCAGGCTCGCGAGGCGGTGCGCCGAAAGGAATCACCAAAGCAGGGAGCTGGAATCAGGGGCTCAACCATTACCCTCTCAGGAAAAAAGACCCAAAACAGTGGCTTCAGCTAGCGGGTCTTCCGGATTGCTTGGTTGGCCAAATGCTCCCGAACTTCCCCACCCTTGGAGGGGTGAAAAAGACGTCCCGACTTGACTATTTGTGGAGCATCCCGCCAAACAAGAAAGGATCTAGAGGCCCACTCAACAACTGGGTCTGGAGGAATCTCCTTGAATTGATGCGGACCCCTTTTTGGTATTGTCCTCTGTTCAAGGGACAGTCTTCGTTGGTCTCCGAACGAGAACCGATAAGGCTGCAAAACTGTGCGAGGCAGCGCTCACCCAAATCAAAGTTGAGGAACTTGTGCGCAATGCCTTTTACCGCCACCAATTCGGCGGATGTGATGAGACTGACTTCGGAAACGGGGAAATTACGTCTCCAACGTGGACGGTAGCCCAAGGAACATCCTCTGGAGGCTCTCAAAACTTGGCTCGGCTCAGAAAAGAGATGTTCGGATTCAGATTCCTCTTTTATCCTTAAACGCTGATCATTCTTTTTTTTGCCAGGCGCTTCTTGACATGTGTCTAACATGTGCAATTCGATACAGGTCGCATACGCAAAAGCGAGAGACACGAGAAGAGCCATCAGTGACATCTTCCATGGATTTCGGGAGGGGAAACAGACCTTGAGGAGTTGACTCACCCCCAAAGAAAAAACAAACAAACAACTCCTGGATTTTGTCGCCGCTTCCGATGCCGTTCATTTTTGGCCGTGCTTAGAACTCATGGAATTGGGTTCTCTGCCCCCCCCCCCCCCCCACATGGGGATGTATTTGAAACTTGGTTTTTTAAACCACCAGTTGGATGGTTTATATGGGTGATTCCCTCGTTGCCTGCTGAGCACCAGCAAGTTTAAGGTTTAACCCCCTTTTGTGGATGTATTTTCTTGCTGTTGAACTGTTTTGGGATTCCCTGAAAGGAAACCATCCAGTTGGGTGGTTTATAGGGGTCATTCCATTTCTCATTCCCTGCTGAGCACCGGTCTCAAAGGAGCTGAACACCCAAGAATGTTGCCCTAGTATTGCCCTAGTATTGCCCTAGTATTGCCCTAGTAAACCGAGATCGACCGCAAACCGAACCTTCAAAGCCCACAGAGTGATGGAAGAAGCCTCTGAAAGCTCCGATTTTTTCCAATGCTCAAGTGTGGGTCCCGAATATATGGAACTATACGACAACAAACATGTTGTTCGCTCAAGAAGCGAAAGGAATCATTCCTAAAGGCACCATGTCCAGTTCAAAGGGTTCGCATAAAGGGTTCGCAGAGCTCGAAAAACACTTATTTTCCCTGAAGCCACTCGCACAAGAAAACAAACCTCGCCGTACAGGCTCCCCCCAACAAGATACATCCCCAACCAGGTTTGGTACAATAGATGGGGGAACCCCTGGCAAATGGCGGATAAAAACCCCATCTAAAAAAGCGGATTCCATCTGGCTGTGGGTCAAAAATATATATATATATATGTAACCAAAATGGAGCCCCGGTAAATGAAACCAAGGACTAAAACCTGCGGTTTCCTGGTGGCTTTATGTTGCCTCATACCCATCTGTTTTTAACCAAACTCACCTATCCACAAGCACACCTCCCCCAAACAAAAACAACCTTCCTGGGACTGCCCAAAAAAAACCAGGACGCGCGGCTGAGTTTCTCGCGGCAAGCGGGTTTTCGCGGGTTTCCACGGCTCCCGCTCGCTCTCTCCCGCCGGCTCGCTCCCGCCTCGCCGGCCGCCACAGCTACGGCGCCCGTGGCCTTCAGAGGGCCAAGCTCTCCGTGGGCGAACATGCCGAAGAGCGGCACCTCGTTGCGTCCGCCCGAGCGAGCGACCGAGCGCCCAGGCGATCGACCGACCGAGCGACCGAGCGGCCGATCAAACCCACAGCCCGGACGCGGCAGTTTTGCGAAGAGTTGGGGAGAAGAAAAAAACAAGCCGCCCAAAAGGTCGGGGACGCAGCTTGGTGTAGATGTGGTTCAGTGTACCGAGAAAAATGCAAACCAAAAAAATGGCAGGCGGATCCGAGCAAAGAGTTGAGAAAATGAGCAAAAATACCGGGGAAGCGGGGATGTGCGAGGATTCCTTGTAAAGGACAACGTGTCTGAAGACTGCCCGACAAATATGTCCACATCCCTGCTTCCCGGTATCCCTGCTAATTTGTTCGTCTGAAGGGCGCGGCTTCGACTGAAAAGAGGTTTCCTATAGACAGCTTGGTGGCCGCCGGTCATTTTGCGTGACGATTAGGCAAAACATCAGCAGTGGGGGCCCAAAGAAGCTCTGGAACATGTAGGCAAAAAAAGGCACGAACCAGCCAACCACACCCAAGTATGTGGCATGTTGCTCTGCGCACACGAGGCACTGAACTCATCACGCACCGTCGGAGACGTGTTCAACCGGTCCTGAATTTCCCTAGGTATACGCAATATATATATATATATATATATATACACATGTATGTGTTCGTTTTATTTTTGGCCTCCTACCTACTCGTTCGGTTGCGCGCGGCTCGTCTTTGTGCTCTTGCCCTCTCAATCATATTCCGTTCACATGGCGCGGGCCTTCAACTTGGCCGTGTCGCCAACCCGCCACTGATGAGTCCGGAGCTAAACATTCGCAAGGCGAGCCAAACAGGCCTCGGGTTGCGTCTACATACAAGAGGCCCCCACATATCAGCGTTGCTTTCAACCAGCTCAAGAAAAAGTTGCTTTCTGTGGAGGGACGAAATGCTGCAGCACCTAAACCCTGGAAGGATGAGCCCCCTGTAAATGCCAGCAAACAAAGGTTTTTCTTCAAAGTGGTGCAGGATTCCGTCCATCCGCAGTATGCAATCCTAGTTCGGGGACCTTGCTAGGCTTTCGGCTTCCCTCCATGGCGCCGCCTTTGCGCGCTGGTCCCCGCCAGTGCGAAGGACTCTTCCTGCATCTAGCAGAGACAGACACTCCGAAATGAGCAACATAGACGACCCAGAGCTGTGGAGCGAGATCTGTGCTCGCAGTTCCCAATCTTCATTTTCGGCGCGGCCAAACTCGTCGCTCAGTGGCAGCGCGACCCTGCGCAAACATGGTTGCCATAGCGCGATCCTCGTGGCGGGGTCGAGGTACAGCCGCCCTCGGAACGTTGCCATGTCCTGGCCTTCTCAGGTTTATTGGAAAGGAGCAAAAGGCAACTGGCTCTCAAGACGTGACGGGCCTATTTGTAGCTCGACGCAAGCACATGGCCAGGTGAAGCGAGTCATGGTCAACTCTGAGCACAGCAACACTGGGGGGGGGGGGGTAAAAACACTCTGACCGTAGTTGGAAGATCCAGTGCATGGGGAGCAAGCACAGCAACTGTTGCGTGTTCGGGGGGCCAAGTCCCAACGAAATCTTGGAGACTCATCCTCTCTTGCGGCCAACCAATGTCCGCGGAATGAGCTGGAGACAACAAAGTGTTCAGATCCTGTTTCATCTTTAGTCAACCCCATGCGACATATGGGCTGTGCTTTTTTGGGGGACCCCTCATGGTGGCTGACAAATTTTGGTTCCCTTTAAAGCCCCAAGCGGGTACCCAAAGAAAAAAAGACCGACCCGTATTTTTGCAGGCCGTAGAACTGATGGCTGCGTTCCTTCCCTCGGCAGCCGCTCGCTCGGCAGGGCTAGGGCCGTCGCTCCCTCCAAAGAGCCTCAGGGGAGAAGGCCTGTGGCTCTCCATGTTCAAGGTCAGCGAGAGTAGATTTAAGCCCCCGTCCCCTCCCGTACCTCTGTTTTTCTCCGAGCACAATTGAGACACCACTCAAAGCCACCACGTGAGTCAACATCAAGACCTAACAAAGATACGATGTATGTGACAAAATGAGGGGGAGCCAAAAGCATGGGTGGTTTCCATGTGGTTTCCCTTTAAACCAACCGCAAAGAGGGTACCCTCAAAACACATCCCTACATCAAGACATTTCCCCGACACCCACGGCGAAGAATCAAAAGCCCGCAAGCTGTCCGCACCTATGGCAAGGGGCAGTCCCCAAAACTCTCGCCTTTAGCCAGGCTTCAAGTGTGGTTCCTGCAAGCTACCTGGAAATCCGTGTGGAACGCACGAAAAGTTGGGAATTCTACGAAAAGCAGCTACACGTCAAGACTTCTGCTGCAAGTAATAAAAACGAACCCGTATTGGGTGGGCCTGGCTAACTGTCCAGTGCATGGATTTCTGTTGAGGTATGACTTTGGCCTCAAAACATCCTGCCGCAAAAAAGAATATCAGACAGCCAGCAGCTTCAGAAAATTGTGTGCCTGGGCCTTTGTTCATGATCGACTGAAAAATAATTGCGGATGCAGTTGTTCATTCCATAGACGATGCTTGTGTCAACAAACGTATCGAAACAAGCAAGGACACCAAGCTGAGCACTATGCACAGCCCAGCCGAAGAGAAGAGAAAAGAAAAACTGCCTCAAAAAGGACCGGAGTTGCATTCCGGATTCATTGGCTGCTCACGGAACCAGGGTCGCCCCCAAAAACTGACCTGTGGAGTGAACAAAAGGCCATTGGCGGTGGACTGAAATGAAGAAGCCTGCCAACCAAAAGCCAAGACTCAGCTTGGCGATGCCCAGTGGATATGGGAAGAAAAGTAACAGTTTTAGCTGGCTGAGTCTAAAAAAGGGCGGAATCCACTGGAGGACAGCTTGCCAGCTCAACGGGGTTTTGATCTCAAACTTTCAAGGAGCTCCCGTCACTCCTTCAGACATCACCTGATCCTCCCGTCAATCTGACCTTGACTGGAAGTATTGAAATTCCTCCCACGGCTTTGTCCCGAAACATTGGCAACCACGGAGAAAGAGCTTCAATGAGCTGGATCGCCGTGTCAACTGCATATGGCTGTGGGTCAAAAAAATAGAGGTACCCAAAATGGAACCCGGGTGAAAATGTAAAATTGACGAAAAACCCAGCGGTGCATATCCTGGTGGTTTAGCTTTTGACCCATACCCATATCCCTCGAAACCAGTGGCTTTTTACCATCTCCCGGTGGTTTAAGTACCAAACCCGCGTCTCCTCCTTTCAAGTCCCCGGGTCAAAAATGAAATATGAGTGGGAAAAAGACATCTTAAGCCTTAAGCCAGATGACATGATCGGCAAGAAGGAAACATATCCTTCAGCCTTTTCTGGAAGGGAGGCAAAAGTCTTGTTTCCTTCCATGTTCTTAAGAATATATTCTTAAGCACATGGAAGGAGACACAACCCAAAAAAATACTGGCCACCACAACGGCCGGCAAAAAAAACAAAAAAAAAAAACACCGCCCCCCGGGAAGAAAGGAGACGAAAAGAAGAACGAGCCGAACACGGCCCGAGGCCGAGGCCGGCGAAGGCCTCCGGCTCCACCCCGTCCTTCTCGTACTTGTTGTAGCCCCGGCCTAAGCGACCGGTCGAGGCGCCTCGCTCGGTGGCTCAGCGGAGGGACTTCTGGGATCTTGGGGTACCAGGGCCAGTTGTTCTGTTGGTTGTCTTGCTTTCTTGCCTTTGTGTGTGAAAATTTGGGGGAGGATGAACTTGTATGTTGTTTTGCTAAGGTGCTAAGGTGCTGCGAGGAGCTTGCCTCTGATGCGAGAGAGAGGGAGAGAGGGAGTACAAAGGCCTATGTTTGTTTCATTTGGGGCTGTGGAATACTTTAAACAAGACTTGGTCATTGAAAGATGAGCCACACTGTACCCCTTTGGTTGCTGAAAAGGAAACCAATCGAAGGTGAAATTGGGGGGGGGACCAATTTTTAAGAGGCATCCCTTCTGGTTTGTGTGTAAAGGAAAGCGAAGAGAACCAACCAGTCGTGTTGGATCATGGGTTCCTCAAACAGGATGGTGTTTTTTGGGGCTTTCGGGAAACCAAACATCAAGCCATTGCTAGGCTCGATGTTTGAACAGGTCCAGTCCATCTCTCGCCTATGGCCACGGGGCTCTGGGCCAAAGGAAAACGTGGCACCCTAGAATCCATTTGCTGGAACCCATTTGGCGTCACCCAAATGGGCTGGGTACATTCCTGAGCCCAAGGGCTGTACTCCTATCTTCCCTTTTTGTCGCCTGGCAGAAATTCGGTCCCCGGGAACAGAAAAAGACATAGGAACACCGATTTCCTGCCCCAACGCGGTTTGGTCGATTTCAGGCTCGGAGCAATTTCGTCCCCCCCATGGAGACGGAGGAGCCCCAACTCCCAACTCCTCAAAACCCCAACCCCCCAAAACCGAAACCACAACCCCCCAATCCCCTAACCCCCCCAAACCCCTCCGAAGCCACAACCCCCCCAGCCCCCCTTTCCTTTTGGTTCCCGGGCAGAAGCAAGGGAAGTAGCCCGCGGCAGTCGCCGCCCCCGGCAACTTCTTCGCAGTGCCCGCCGCAACCTCCCAACGAGTCGAAGCCCGCGAAAGCTGTGCGCGCGCACGGAAGGAACGGAAGGTGGCGCCGTCGCTCCCACGCTGCCATGGCACACAGGAACTCCAGCCAAGAGGAATCTGATCTTCCAGGTGCCATGTTAGTGGAAGGGTAGGCTGAATTTCTTCTCAGCTTCCCGATCGAAAGATTGGATCGGTGGTTTTTGGAGGTTGGGTGGTAGGGTTACCTGATCTGCGCCATTGGATATTCAAGCGAGAATCTCCTTGGAACTGCAGTTGCAACAATAGATTCACGTGTCAGGAGCGGATCTCTGTCACTAGCCCGCATGATTTGACCACTATCAAAGTCACCCCTTTGGTAGGCTAAAGGGAAACAACCCCACTTTCTAATCTTGATGCTTCCCAGAAACGAATTGCCATGTGAGGTATAATTGGGGTGCTTTCATATGCCGGCTTTCCATGTGGTGGGTTGAGGAAATACCCCCATTTCCCACCAGTGAACCGACTGAACTGATTGGAAAGAGCTAGTGGCGGAAGCGTGACCTGCGACAAAATATGAATAAGGCTAGGTGGTATCCCCTGAAAGCTGCCCCAATCCACTCCAGAGCCTATCTGGGCAGAGACCCCATGGTCTGTCTTTTTGAAGGTTGGACCCCCCAAAACGGCTTCGGCGTTCCTTTTGGGTTTCTCTCTAAACCAACCAAAAAAAGGATACCAGCAACAAAATTGACGAGCCACACGTGTGGCGGATGAGTGGACGCTCCGAATCTTCTGCAGCGTCTTCCAACATGTTACGTCAGCTCGGCTTGTATCAAAAACGGATACCTTGGACTTCAGGACACGAGCTACGAGCGTGGCTTCATTGGGCGTCTCATTTGAGTCCCGGACCCCACCGTGTGTTGGCCCAGGGGAACCAGGACACCGAAGCCAAGAGGACACCAAAACCAACAGGACACCAACCAACCAACCCAACCCAACCCAACCCAGCCCAACCCAACCCAACCCATGCCAACCCAACCCAGCCCAACCCAACCCAACCCAACCCAACCTAACCCAACCAACCAACCAACCATTTAGACGACAAACCAAACGGTTGGAACCTGTCCGACCTTCAACCAACTTCCGGTCAAGTCTTTAAGGGGGTCGGGGGTCCCTGAGCGCCTAAGTAGAACCCGGCGGATTTTCCTTTGGGGAAGGATCCAATGTCTTTTCTTTTGGTTGCGACCAATGAATGAACCTGGATTGTAAAAGTCAACTGCGTTCCATTTACCTCAAGTAAAAAATACACACTGGGTGGTTCTAACAGAATAATTTGGCACCCCTTGGTTTCGCGAAAAACAATTTCACTGGGACCACCCGAAATGGAGCCGGCCGTAAAAGGACACGACTGGTTCAAATCCCATACTAAAAGTGTTGACTTCATTTGGGCTCCAGCCCACCACTCAACGAGATTACACAAATAATAATAGAGATTAGTTTTGGACAAGTGAGAGGGGCAAAAAAGAGCCATGTGTGCCGGTGCTGCAAAAGAAACAAACAAAAGCAAACACGCAGTTCCTTCTCGTGACGACGCCTCCTTTGCATCGTCCCCATCGAAGCTCACCACGGCAGAGGGCACAGAGGAGGAGACCTGAAACCGAAATTCAACGAAAGAGTTGGGAGTTGCTCAAAACGGACTCCTAGAAACCGCCCGCTCACTCGTCCCAGGGCAGGAATTACCAAGGCACGGACTCCGTCGTCCTCTGCTTGAAGTATTTCACAGAAAAATCCCAAAGGAAACCGAATCCTATTCTTGAGAAGCACACGAGAATTGTGCGGATTTCCGAGGGCAAACAGGGCGGAGTTTGTTCAGGGGCGCCCCCTCCCTTGCCGCAAAACAGAGGAACCACAGCGGCAAGGCGTGGCTCAGAAGCCCCAAAGCAGCCGAAGGGCTCAGGCGGGCTATGTCACTTCGGGGTAAACGCACGACGTGGCAATAGCGTGAAGAAGCCTGAGGCTTCAAATGTGTTGGGTTTGCCAGCCATCAGGACGCCCCCCTCCCCAAGCCCCCCTCTGTTTTGTGGGTTGGATGTGGATACCCCCCGTTTTGGACATAGGTCCATTCAAAACCCCCGAATGGGTTGCATGGAGAATGGTGTTTGTGGGCATCTTCGCTGGGGAGTGTTTTGAATGGATCTCCTATGGCTTGGTCCGAAACCCAGAAATCCTACGTTTCCCTTGCTTCCTACAAAAACCTATGAAAAAAGAGGATGCGGGTTCTTTCTGTCTTTGACCCAGAATGGACGGCTTCATTGAAACCAAGCTGAAACCGGTGGGATCCATTCGCTACCAAACCGACTTAAACAGAACACCCCACGTTGCCATCAGAGAACCAGGACCCCAAATGTTGTTTTGGGGGGATGGCTTTTGTATTTGCCCTGACAATTTCCTGTGGAAGAAGAGAGACAAAGAGGACCTATTAGCAGGTCCGGAGTCTGACCCAGGCACTTGTTTCCGGCTTCCACTTGCTGGGCAAACCGAGAAAAGCCTTTGGACTCACTGAGGGACATGGAAAAGTGAAGCAAGTTGATGCCTGGACTCTGAAGCCTCTCCAGGCAATCGAGGAACACCAACTGCGTTCGGGGGTTCAATCGACAAAAGTCGATAGTGTGTCAGGGCGTCCGATTGAAAAGCGTGGCTATAGCCAAGCTATGGCAAAGGGTGCTGGAGGCAAAGCGTACCCTTGATACTAATCAGAGAAAGAAGAAGAAAAAGGGGGAAAAAACAGCAGAAAAAAAAAAAGCGGGGGAAACAAGAACAAGGGGGGGGGGAAGGAAAAAACAAAAACAAAAAAGGTCAACAGGTCTCACTGGTGAGCCTTGTGAAGGGAGCCGCGTTTCCCAGCCTCCTTTCCATTCTGAGGTCGAAACGTGCATGCCAAGTAGACACAGCCATGGCTTTGTTTCTTTGCAAGTGGGGTGTAAAGGGGTAAGCCAAAAACCACCCAGATGTGGCAGGGAAACCTCCCCTAAATCAAGCGGAAAACCAAAAGGGCCCCCACAAGAAGATTCCTCTCATGGCTTTTGGGCTCTTGGGGTCCCATCTTTCAGGTGAACAACTCAGTTGAGGTGGAGGGGGTGTACTCAAAACACCATCAAAACGAAGAAACCTTCCACAAAAAATCGGGAGCATCCTGCCTGGGAGGGGTTAGGTTTGGGGCACCGGGTGCCCGGCAACAAACTCATCCACCTCCACCAGGTCCCCCGAGTGCTCCAGCTTGTAGCAGGCCTGACACCACGCCCACCCCGACGGAAAATGGCGCCGACGCCGAATTCGGCCACTTCGGCCATTTCGGGAAATGGCGCTGGCCGTGCTCCTCGCGGACTCAGCTGATGCAGAAATTGTATAACCCCCCCAAAGAAAACCGTTTTCAACCCCAAGGTTTGAACAGCTGCGAACGAGAGGCCCTAACCAGTCCCCCCAGCGTTGCTGAGGAACTAACACAGTGAGCCCAAGACGGCTAGGATCTCCCGTTACAGAAGAAAAACATCGGATAGGGTCTACTTTGAGTTGCCTGTAAAACGCATCTGAAATGGGGTTCCCCGAGTTCAGGGAACGCGTAACGCACCTGGCGTCTTGACTCGAAAAGCTCTAGGGCAAGCCCATCTACAAAAGCAAGTTGGACCCCTTCGACGGGTGTTTGCACATGCTGCTTGGTTTCCGATTTGTGTCCCTTCAAAAGTCGCCCCAAAAGGGGCACCGATCCCAACACAGACTCAAAGGATCATGGCTTGCCACGGAAACCACACCCAAGCCCCAAAAAAAACGCGCTCCCAACTGCGCCCCTTGTTCGCCGGAGCCGGCACCGCGGGCTCATTTGAGCGCGCGCGGGGTCGTTTTTTCTCCGCCGCGATCCTCAGCCGCAGCCCTGAGCTTGCGCGAGTCGCTGGAGGCGCGCCACGAACCGATTTTGCGACATGCCAATCACGGGGCTTCCAACCAAAACCCTTGCAAGCGAACCGGGAACCTCACTGGGGACATGCCCCAAACCTGTGGCTTCCGTGTGACGCGTCACCCTCTCGAAATGATCGACGGCTCGGGGAAGAGAAGGAAAGCTGCAGCCCCTGATTCATAGGGGTGCTGAATCAAAATCAAGGGCTCGTAGGGAGAATGGTCTCGCGGAAGAAAACAACTGTGTACTGAGTCCCATCCTTGGGGATCCCTCTGTTGCGTCCCAGAAAGCAGGTTGAGGTGCACAAATGTCACTTCGCGCCTTTCAACGCATGCGATTTTTTTTTTGTACATGGCTGGATGCGAGTGTACCTCAACGGTTGAATTGTAGTTCTGCAGACCCAAGACAGGAACCTTCATCTTCGAAGAGGCAAAACCCACCCTTTTTGCCCCTTCGCGGGGTCCCCCCAAACCTCACCCCTGCGATGCAAGTCAGGGGTCCCGGCGTCCTCCTGACAGCCTCCTATAATTCCCAAGCTGACATTCCTCTAACCCGTTTTTTGCAACAATCGGAATAAAGTTTGCCCATCCGCGGCCAACCCCCCCCCCCCAACCACCTGGTTTCATGAGATATAAAGCCACCATATGGATGTGTTGGTTTTTTGCCCGTTTTAGGGTTGGCTTAAGAAATCCCCCGAATTTGCACCGATGGCGCCAAGGCTGCAAGCCGATGGACCAAATCCTGCCATCCTTTCAAGCGACCCCGGCACTTCTGCCCCATGGGGGGGGGGGGGTGAGGGGGTGGAATCCCATGAAATATGAAAAACGGCATTTGCTCGCGTAATCTTTTTTCTTGCCCCCTCCAAATGTGCCCTCCATATATCGCTCTGTTTTTTTTGTTTGTTTGTTTTTTTTTCTCCTGAGTGGCACATGTTGAAACTTGACGTCATACCCTAGGGGAAAAAAAAAGTATCTGGAGGTTTCGGGGTAGCCGTACTTTCTCTACGAGGATCCTTTCTTTTCAGAAACAAATCTTCAACTGTGGCGCCTCAAAAGAACCAAAGCATCGGAAATTCTCGGAGCCGAGCGCCTCAACTCTTCTTGCCCTTGTGGAGCCGCTCGAGCGCCGCTTGCCGCCGGTCTGTGCAGATTTCCCCCGGAATCGATGAGTTGGAGGCCATGTGTGCGTGGCCAGCGAAAAGAAAAAAACAACTTAGTCATGGTGTTTTCTATTGGCACTAAACTTCGTGCCAACTTCGTGCCAACTCAAAACTTTGTGCCGTAGCGAATGGCTCTTCATCCCTAGTCGTTCAGCTTTTCAGGCTGTAGCGCCCTGTTGGCTCAATTTGAAACCAAGCAAGTGTGTCTCGAAGACTTACTTGGTGCCTGGTGCCCCGTGGGGTTCCCTTGGCAGTAACAACCACAGCAGAAGAAGGTGCCCGAGTGACTTCTCCGCGCCTTTTGAGGCCGCAGGGGAGGACACCCGTCCTCAGTCGATACGCATGCGTATGTGTGTTTGTTTGCATGCGTCCAAATGCAAATGTCTATGTCTATGTCTGTGTCTGCGTCTGTGTCTGTGTGTGCCTATGCATCTGCAACAACTGTTGTGAAACCAAACATGTTTATCTGTGCTCATACATGAACGACTGCCAAGACTACTGGCTCTGGCTTCGTTTGGATAGCCCCCCCCCCCCTCCTGGCCCCCAGCCCCCTGATAAAAGGGTTAAGCTGCCCCCCGTCTCTCGTCCTCAAATGACCCAGCGCCGTCCCAGAAGCCGAGCTGACAGCTTGGGAGGAAGACTTGGACATTGGGCGGACTAGGGGCTCCTTCTGATCTCCGGCAGCTTACAGCCCTCACTACCCACCCTCGGGTCGGAAGCCCTTGATGAGTGGTTGCTACTGGCGGAGCTTCGTTTTTCAAGCCACTTACGAGTGGAAGAACCCCTTTGCATATTCTGAACGTGTGGCCAGACTTTTCTGCAAAAAGTGAACATTCTGCTGTTTAACAAATAGAATCAAAGCATGTTTAACAAATAAATCAAAGCCCAAAAAGAAGAAGAAAGGAAAAGCAACTCAAAAAAGGTCAATTCTTTAGTCTGGCGCATCAGCAGAACCTCCTTGACAAACTTTGTGCGCGCAAAACCTAGGGTAAACTGATCATATGTCTGTGGGGGGGAAATGAGTTGGCTGAATTGAAGGTAAACCAAAAGGAAACATCGGGGTCAGGCAAGCTACGCTTCTTCTTCCTCCCGAAGTCGTCGTACTCCTCGGTGTCGCTATTCCATTCCTCGAGCCGGACTGCCCCCCCGTGTGATACCAAAGAGAGGCTTTCCATAACTGCTTCACTCTGAAAAGGCGTACCTTGGTGTCACAGAACTTGAGGACTCAGCTGTTTCTCAAAGTTGTGGACCCTCTTGAGATGGTTTTGAAGAGAAACCACACAGAGACACGTTGATCCCCTCTTCTGAAAATCTGGCCGAGAACCCCAGGCCCAAATCGCCACCTCGGGGGGCAAACGAGCCCACAAAATGAGCCCAAAAGAACATGGGAAAATGCGGGCACGGCACCTGATAACTTTTGGGTCCAGCTAATCACATGGTCAAAACTCCCATCAAAAACTCAGATCGCCCCATGTACCCCTCCCAAATGAACTGTAGACTACCAGTAATCTTGTCCAAACCTCGTATGTCCCTAACATAGCAATAGATGACACATGCGTGAAAATAGATTGCACACTTCCCGCCCCCATTTTGCTTGAGTCATCCCGTTGCTTATCCAAGGGAATTGCTCTCCGCTGTCACCCAAGTGCAAGATAGGTCAAGTAGGGTAGGTGGGGTGGGCAGGTAACCGTAGGGAAGGTCGGGAAGGCTAAGGTAGGTAGGGTAGGAGGTAGGTAGGGTAGGTAGGTAGGTAGGTAGGGAAGGTAGGTAATTAGGGAAGGTAGGTAGGTAGGGAAGGTAGGTAGGTAGGGAAGGTAGGGTAGGCTAAGGTAGGGCAGGCCAAGGTAGGTAAGGGTCGCGTAATTACCAGAAACTCCTTGGCTCAGCGGTTTCCGTCCGAGGGGCGCGGCGGTCCTCCTTCTCCGACCGCTCCTTCCAGCCCCCGCCACGCCCGATCTCCCCCTCCTTGGCACGGAGCCTTAGTTCGACGGTTCGACCGACGACGCGGGGAGGGAATGCTCGCGAAACCCCAAGGGACGGTTTATAGGGGGTCATTCCCTCGTTCCCTACTGAGCACCAACAAGTCAAGGAACCAAAAGGTTGGTTGGGTTGGGTTGGGTTGGGTTGGGTTAGGTTGGGTTGGGTTGGGTTGGGTTAGGTTGGGTTAAGTTGGGTTGGATTGGGTTGGGTTGGGTTGGGTTGGGTTGGTTTGGTTTGGCTTGGTTTGGTTTGGTTTGGTTTGGTTTGGTTTGGTTTGGAACGCGGGGATGAACCCGGGCGAAACCCCAAGGGATGGGAGGCGTTCGACCCACAAATGACTCAACTTGCTGATGCGATAGGTAGGGAATGCGGGAATGAACTCGGGCGAAACCACATGTATGGTTTATAGGGGGCTCCTTCCATTTCTCATTCCCTAGTGAGCACCAAGTCAAGGAGCCAAAAGGAAACCCCGGGCCCAAACTTCGAGAGACATGCCCACACCAGCCTTCCAAGAGGCTTCCCTTATCTTGCTGTTGCGATAGGTAGTGCGAAATGTTCATGAACCCAATCTCTTTGGTCCCCGAACAAAGGAAACCAGCAATGGGATGGTTTCTTTCTTGGGGTGAGACTCCATTTCTCAGAAACCCCCTGCCGATCGAACCGATCGCGAAGCAGCAGTAATCTTCATGCCCAAGCAGCTCTGTGCGCATTTGCCGCTGCTCAGGCCGCAAGATCTCGCACTTGCCTGGCGCGACAGATCCACAAAAACCGGAAACCGCTGGCCCAGCAGAGCAGCTGGAAAATTGTCTGAGTGGGGAACCAAGGTGAGAGATACCATGAAGCAGCCCCCCACTCCGTCGCTTTGAAGGGGGTTGTGTTTGTATCACAGAAAGTGGCCCTAAAACCCTACTTTTCACAACCATGCCCAGAAGCACGGATGCGTGATAAAAGCTCCAAGAGACAAACCAAAAACACACACCACAAAAGAACGGCCAAAGAGCAGATAGCAACACAAAGCACTAAGAACAAAAATGCGAAAAGCTCATGGGGTGTTTTCGTGGTCAACCTGCCAGAAGGTCGAATTAAAAGGGGCAGCTCCACTATTCAAGCTCCGCTAAAAGGGGCCTCTATAGTTCCCTAAGAAAAGTCTACATCTCCATTACTTGGTTGACGTTGGAAGGGGAGCAAAAAAAAAAA